TCCTCATGAAAAAGAAGCAAGAAGCAGTTACAGGTGGCAACCCTGTTTACGTGTCCCATGATCTCACTCGTACTGAACAATCTAAGCGAAATGACGTCTGGCCTACATTTCGGAAACTGCGACAGAATGGCATCCGATGTACTCTGCCTAGATGCGTGATCATGTTGAAGGGCAAAGCCATGACAGACGAAGAAATCGCCATGCATCTCTCAAAGACCACCTAGGGGTGCGAAAGTGGAATGGCAGCTGCTGGCATGGACTCCAGTCAATCCGATACCCCAACAACGCACTGGCATTCTAAATTAAATATTTGTCACATAAATATATGTAGTATCAGGAACAAGTTATTGTATATACAGGATTTAATTATTACTCATACATTGGACATACTATGCATTACCGAAACTTGGCTAGACACTTCAATTGCAGATTCGTTTATTGCATTGCAAGGCTACGACCACATTCGACGAGACAGAGGCGGAGGGAAAGGCGGAGGTGGTGTGCTAATATATGTTCGTAGCACTATACCGATGACGTACATGCATATCAATTTGAGTCCGTGTGACAGTGAACTAGAAGCAGTGAGTGCGCTGCTTGAATTTCGCAGCTCTGGACACGTCACTTGGCGTTTACCACTGATATGTGTTTACCGACCCCCTTCATCAGGGGTAGGATTCTGGGATATATTCACCGCCTACATAGACAACGTAACACGAAGCGTGAAGCACAGCTCATTATGCATTCTCGGCGACCTTAATGTCAATTGCTTGTCTGATCAAGCTCCCGCTCACTTCCGAAACATGTGTGCAACCCACTGTGTTCATAACGTTGTAACAGAGCCAACCAGATTCCGCTCCGATTCATGTTTGGACCCTATTTGTATCACTGGCGACCTTGTAGCTGTTGATGTCAGTGTAATGCCTGATCCAATTAGTGATCACTTTGCCGTGAAAGCTAGTCTAGACCTTGAATGCAACCTTGACAGACCAGGTCACCTCCGAGTTAGGACTAGAAAGAAACCGCTTTCCACCCTGGACTTTGATGATCTGTCTGACAGGATTGGTTCGGCCCTCACTGAGACAGGACGGCATGTCACTGCTAGCACTGGCGTTGATGAACTCGTGGATAAATGGCACGGTAGCATTGGAGGTGTCCTTGATGACCTCGATCCATATGTGGTCAAGAACATAAAGCTACACAAGAAATCGCCTAAGCCATGGATCACTCCAGAGCTACGTTTTCTATTGGCACGTCGACAGTACCTCCATCGCCGAGCATGTAAGAAAGCGAGTGACCCAGCAGCTTTAGAAGAATATCGTCGAGTTCGGCGCGAGGGAACTTTAATGAACAGGCGTCTCCGCTCCCAGTACTATCAACATCAATTCATGTCCGTCCGTAAACAGCCCAGGGGCCAATGGCAGTTACTCAATGGCCTGCTTCACAGACATACCAAGGACACTTTAGGAGGGACTGATCACATTGGTATCTCCCGCACATTTGCACAAACTGTTTCAGACCCCATTCGGACACACCTTCACTGCCCATCTGGTCCCCATCGCCAGACTTCTATGTTGGCTATCTCGCAGCCTACGGTCACCGACGTTGTAAAGATCCTTCGTAATCTCAATGCACATAAAGCTCCCGGAGCAGACGGGTTGCCTCCGATCCTTTTCAAGAAATGTCATGAAGTGATGGCAGGTTCCCTGTGTGCTCTTCTCAGGGCATCTATTGAGGAGAGTAAGTTTCCTGCGCTTTTCAAGCATGCATCCGTGAGAGCACTTTTCAAGGGCGGGGACCGCTCTGAACCGCGAAACTACCGACCTGTTTCACTTTTGCCGATCGCTAGCAAAGTCCTCGAGAAGCACGTGTACAACCAATTAAGCCTTCTTCTGAGAGAGAATCCCGACATTATTCCACCCCAGCAATTTGCATACAGACGATATCACTCGTGTGAGGAGGCCCTGGCTGTTGCAATTGATAGCTGGATGAAAGATTTGGATAATGGGAAAGTTGTTGGCGTAGTGCTCGCTGATGTCAGGAAAGCGTTTGACAGCGTCAATCACCAGTTGCTGTTGAATGAGTTATTTGATTGTGGGATTGGTGACTCGGCTCTGGCATGGTTTAAAAGCTACCTGAGTGATCGAACGCAGCAGCTCATTGCACCAGAGGGCCTGCCACGCGTGCCATGTACGCAGGGTGTTCCGCAGGGGTCTGTTTTGGGACCTATCCTATTCAGCCTCTATGTCCGTGGTCTTCCCTCATGCGTCAACAGTTCCACAGTTCTGCAGTTTGCGGATGATGTTAATATGTATGCAGCTGGTGACTCTGCTGAGGAAGTCATCGGAGCTTTGAACGGAGATCTGGCCAAGCTGTCTGTCTACCTGGAAGAGAAGCGCATGACGCTGAACCCAGCAAAGACGAAGTTCCTCCTCCTTCACAGAAAGACAACAGCAGTGTCTGGTTCCGCCAGTGTCGTCATTGACGGCGTCCATGTTCTTCGAGCGCAGTCCGCACGCTATCTTGGCATTGTCATTGACGAGCACCTGACTTTTGGGCCACAAATTGACGGTTTGATTGGGTCTGTCAACAGGAAACTCGGCGCCTACCGCATGTCAAGACATCTCTTGCCATTCCACGCACGGCGTAGCTTTTACCTTAGTGTTATTCAGTCGTCATTGGAGTATGCAAGTAGCGCATACGTCCACACCCTCAGTTCTTACTATTTCGATAAGTATGTCCGGCTATTTAACAGGTGTCTAAGAATAGTTTTTGGTTTCGATAACTTTACCAGTGCCTCTCATATTCTTAGCCTATACAATCTCTCTCACATTTCTGTCCGAGTCAATTTGAAGCTTTTTATTCTTGTATTTCGCTCTGTCCATAGCGGCACATGTAGCTCCCTCCTAAAAGAAATTTTCCATACCCGCTCCTCCAGTGCACATACTACTTCCGTCACTAGGTAGTAGTAGTAGTAGTAGTAGATTTTATTATTTTACTAGGGGAGTCCCAACAGGCGTTGCCTTTTTACTGGGAACCCTAGGTGAATTTTTACCATGTTTACATACAGAGTAAGAGACGGGGCCTGACGGCAGTCAGTGGGAAGAGCATTCCATCTGTCTGCCGCCAGGAAAGAAATAGAACGCATGCCATATTGCGTAGAAACAGGCGGAAGAACTAATGCGCGCTGTGCCTGGCCGCGCGTGCGAGCCTGGTGTCCGGGCACAGCAGCCCTAAGCTGGAACAAGGATTGGAGAAGGGGACTAGCAAGATGTGGGGTCAAGCAGCGGTACACGAAAACATAGAGTTTAAGATTTGTGCGCTGTTCAAAAGAATAGAGATGATATTTGCGGAGAACAATTTCAGTAGACATCATACGGTCAAACCCAAAAACTTTCTTCATTGCTATGTGACTGACCGTCACGATTTTATTGAACAGGGTGGCGCTGAGACAGTGCAGATAAGCGTTACTGGCATAGTCGAGAGTCGATTGCACAATGGATAAATAGAACGTCCTCTTCGCTTCAGGTGTTAGGTTTTTTCGGCCATGTCTGAAGGCGGCAATCTTGCCGAACACCGCACCGCAGACCTTCTCGACTTGCGGCTGGAAGGTGAGATGCTCGTCGATGAGTAGTCCGAGATACTTCACGGTGGCTGCAGGGGTGAGGGGCTTGCCTTTACAAACTAGGGGGATTGGTAGATGCGGCACAGGTTGGCGTGGGCGCCGAAGGACCAGGAACTGCGTCTTGTCAGGGTTCATGAGAAGTCCTTTGTCATCAAGGTAGAGCTCCAGAGCGCTAAGGTCATCCTGAAGCTTTCGCAGCATGACAGAGAGGTCCGTTCCAATGACGAAAAAGGCGATGTCATCGGCATAGAGCTGAGAAATACTGTTCCGAACAATCTGTGGAACCTTGCGGATGTAGACGCAAAAGAGGAGGGGGCCAAGGACGGACCCTTGCGGAACTCCCCTGGTGCAGGGCACAGTCCCACCACGCTCCCCATTGACCACGACTTGTTGACTTCTGGAGGACAGATAGTCCGCGAACCACTTCAGCACCGAGCCGCCTAGCCCTACGTCAGCCAGCTCGTTGACCAGTTGTTGATGCTGTACACGGTCGAAAGCCTTGCTCATATCTGCGAACAGTATCGCGCATCGCTGGCCATTGTCCAGTGCTCTTGGTCCCAAATCTCTTTTTCTCTGGCCTTGCCTTCTGCCCACACTAAAGCTGGTTTTTCTCGTCTTGGCTACATAGGTTCTGATCGGTGGAATATGCTGCCTTCCACTGTTCGCTCTTGTACAGATTATCGCCCATTTGTTCGTTCATGCTTAACCTTTCTAGGGGCTCCCGTAAGAAGACCATAGGTCTGTGGGAAACACCCTAGTAAAATAAATAAAATAATAATAATAATAATAATAATGGTTTTTACAGTACTTGTACCCAATAGTTCCTAAAAAAACAAAAAAATCCACAAACTGCTTATCATAATTATGTGTCTGTGTGCTTCCAAATTCGGGGATGGGTGTCAAAAGGGCAAAGGTCAAAGGTGTGTGTATTTGAAAGTACTGTTTTCACATGTCAAACTTGGTAATAATATTGAGCAGCACATGTACTCTCCTGATGTGACATCACTGACAGTCTGTCGTTCTCCAAAAACGGCCAAAATTCAATCCTGATGGGGCCAAAATTCCAAAAAAATTCAAAGTGCGAAAATCCAACCAAATTTCAAAAATAATTGAAAACATTTTGTGGACAAGCCTACTTGTAGCAGTGCCAGTGAGCCGGGAAGATGACTCATTCGTGACATGACTCATTCGTGACTCGTGAGGTCACATCAACACAAGGAGTCGTTCAACGACGTGTACGTGTACTTTTTACGTTCACTCTCGACCTCGGCCTCATCTCACTCATTTTTTTTTTTTCACCAAAAAAGACTTTTTTTTTTTTTTTTTTTTTTTACAACTTACAAGCTTTTTGCATTGTATTATTACATTGTAATTTGTCATTGATGTTTGACCTAGTCGTGACGAGCTGGAAGATTTGATAGCCTTTGGAAGGTACCACGGCACGTAGAGATATTTACTCTGTCGTCCCACAAACAAAATTACTGTCTGCGAGAATGAAGTGGTTTGAAGGAAGCGTAGCAGATGCCATTTCTTCTGCACAGCAGAAACGCTGCCTGTTCATCGTATTTGCAGCAGGTATTTCTTCCATTTAGATTCTGATTTATTTCCTGTGCCTTTTTGTCGTGTATGTATTGATATATCCATTATTGTACGGCTAGATAGAACAGCCTCTCGTGGGGGCAAACATAGCTCAAGAATAGAACATTATGCTACTAGTACATACGTATTAATTAATTATTTCTTATATCACGACATCATTAGACGAATTTCACCACCACAGTGACAGCACTGTGCTCTTGGACTTGGCCAACCAAGCCAGGCATCATGCATACATCACAACCACCACATCGTGCAAACATTGGTGGAAAATTGGAAATATCTTTTGCCAATGTTGACATTCACCTGCAATCGCGTAGTTTGTGAATTCTTCTTTTTTATTTTTTTACGTCAAACTCAACCCCGCCTAGCGCCTATGACTTACCGGTATGCAGGAAAGGAAGCAGGAAAAAGGTGCTAGTACATGTACATACATACCTCAAAGGACCTCCACGATTCCAAATCTTGCCAAGAGGAATCAGTCCGCAAGCAATGTATGACTCAATACAATGGTTGTTGCTTTATATACATCAGGGTTCTAGCCATGGGGGGGGGGGGGGACAGCGTCCCCTACTCTGTTTGTCCCCCACCTGTAAAAAAAGTGCAGTCGATAGTCCGTACTAGACGGTTCATAAAGGCACATTTGTCTGGGGTGAAGTCAGGTGTTCGCCCCGTACCCGTACGTTGCATTTTGCATTGCAAGACAGTTGTTTTGAAAATGGAAAAAAGGGTTACGGGGCAACTGTTTCCCTGCCCCCCCCCCCCCCCCCCCCCCCCCTACTATTTTGACCTGGCTAGAACCCTGTACATGTTGGTTGACAGCATGTAACACGGTGTCCTCCGCCTTGTTACATGCTGTCAACCAACAACATGTTTTCAACAAAACAATGTTTATCTAACCCTGTACATGTACATTGTTGGTAACGTTACTCCCTGTGTCCATGCACCTATGGTGTCGTAAAGCTGATCAGAGGCATTGACGAAACCTGACCAGTTGTCAGTGCCGGTGAGGGTCTTGCAGCACCACGGGTATTGAGCGGTGTCCGGCGAACCACACATGTGGTAGAGACTCAGTGATATGGCGGGGCGAAGTACACGTCGGCATAGGGTAGCACAACTTCAGAGGGTTTCACCAACTGTTTGGGTGTAGCGGCGTACCTCCAATTGGCCCACAGCAGAGTGAAGCTAGCTCTATGTAGCTAGGGATGCACAGTGCTGATCAATGCTCTGTTGTTGGTATTTGCTGGGCTGATGCTGGGTGGTTCATCGCTCATGTAGCGGCTTATTCCATTTCCGTTTTTCTCAAGAAAGTATCATGCACCGTTATCATGTTGTAGTGGATGGTGAATCGGTGATGGACTGCCTAATGATCGGCTATCCAAGTTGTGTGGGGAAGTTTTCTACCTTGTTTAGAATGAGCACCACCGTATGGCATTTCTGGGAAGTTGTACAGGGTTTTGAACATGGTTTTGTACATGATCCATGGACCGATGCTCATTTATCCTTTTTCCTCGTCCTACTCTATTTTTCTCTATCTATCTGTCTCCATTCTGTTCTGCATCCGTAGATGAACAACCGGCGTCTGTATCGACGCAAGAAAGCTGGGATAGTGATGCGGTGGGCTCCGTCGCAAGCAGCAGTGTTGCTTTGAAGGTTACTCCTGGCAGGTATGGCTGCTTGTGATTTGTTTTTCTGATATGAAACGTCGATGTTCCCAGCTCCAGTCCTACTCATTCTGATGAGTATTTAGCTCTCAAGGATTTCTCACCCACCATGATCAGTTGCACCATGGTTATACCCTTCTGATTTGAATATAACCAAATGTTGCTACCATCTGAATACGCCATTGATCAGTGAATCTAGGCAATCTACATGAAAATCTCCTAATCATTTTTCATGGGACGCTCAGCAGGGAAAGCCGTCTCAACAATAGAAGTTACGCAGGGAAACAAACTTATACGTCCAGAGATCCAGAGATTTCTTTCTTCTTCTTTTTTCCCACCTGATCTTTATTCTTCGCAATATCCTCTGGACGTGTGAGTTTGCTTCCCTGCCTAGCTTCTATTGTTGAGACGGCTGTCCCGGATGGGTATCTCACGAAAATCCGTTGATACGGCTGGCTTGAATAGCAGATGTTGCATCTTCTGAGCTGGTGCCATGCCAGTAGTAGCACTTACTCTCTAGCAGGATATAACAGCCTTGATGTAAATAGTGGAGCATTGGCATGCAAAGCTCACCTTATGACGCCAGATCTTCAGGAGAGCTTGCAGTTAGTACCCGTACCCCATAGTACAGCAGAACCTCTGCATGCCAGGGGGAACGAAGGGTGGCTGCATCTCACACTCGTCCCTAACTTGGATATACATGTACTGTACACCACAGCCACAATGGATATGTTGCATCGTTCTCTCCCTTTCGGCTTTGCCGAACCAAAGTCGATATCATTTGCACACACACACACAGATTAGGCGTCGAGGGTTATTTCATGACCTTTTGATGCGGTGAAGTACAGATGAAGTACAAATGTAGTTAAGCTGACCGCCACAAGACCGGGGGAAGACAGTTTTTCAAGATTTGACTGCAATTGCATGTGTGCAAGGTGCCCGGTTGAGCGACGTATCCGGTCCAGGGAGCCTCCACGGTTCTATTGTAGTTCATGTAGTACGGTACTAGAGTAGCCATCATAGCCATATGCAGAGTATTTTAGTAGCAACTACGCACATGCAGCCAATACTGTGTCGGCTATAGCAAGTACTGGGTATGCTTTCAATTCTGGAATAGAATAACTTGATGTATTGAAGCTCACCTGCAATTTGCATGAATATGATGAGGCTGTGGTACGTGACTTGTACATGTACTATCGCCATCACGTGGCACTGGGATACAGAGTGCATTATCGTCTCTGCGTGTGTGTGTGTGTGTGTGTGTGTGTGTGTGTGTGTGTGTGTGTGTGTGTGTGTGTGTGCATGCGTGCGTGCGTGGGCGCGCGCGCGCGTGTGTGTGTGTATGTGTGTGTGTGTGCTTGCGTGTGTGTATCTGTGTTTGGCTTTGTGTGTTTCTGTGTGCCCATCTGCAGTGACTCCTACACACAGTTCACTCAGATTTGTATCCTAACTTTTGCAAGAGATGGTTCTGTGCACTGTGGAGAGCCTGAATACCATCTTTATGGCAACAAATCCCCAAGAAATCAGGCTACTGTCCTGTTGGTGGCCTCCTGTTCCTTCCGTTTGTTTGTGTACTTCACTGATGTATTCAATAGTACCTCAGAGTGCAATGGAAACGAAGGTTGTGTTGTTGACTCACTCCTACACCACACGGCCTACTAGTATGTGGGGCGTGCTCTCCGTGTTGAGTTTCCTTGACTGAAATCTTCATTGTCTAGATCCCGTCACCATTGTGCCTACTTCGTACATGATCAGCCCATTGAGTGGTGGACCATTGGAAGTAGTGCAAGGCACTGCAAGCACTGATGAGCTGTTAGCAAAGCTGCAGTCTGCTCAGGAGGTGAGTGGTACAGAAGTCGTCGATTCAGGAATGATTCTCTTCCTGTTTGCTGCTAAGCTGGACAGAGCTTTGTACGCGCTGTACCGGTCCACTGTCGAATGCCTGCACTGAGTGTGTGTGTGTGTGTGTGTGCGTTGGGGCTTGACCGTGAGCACGTCCAAGACGAAGGTGATGACTCTGCTCAGGGTGGCATACATTTGGAGTCTGATGGTGTAATTGATCAGGTGGCCAGTTTTACCTATCTCGGTGGTTCTCTGGACGATAACTGCTCACTGGATGGCGAGGTAGCGGTGCGGCTGGCCATTCAGTGATTTTTGAATTGCTTGATAGCTCTTGTGCCATGTCCCTACACACACCTAAAAATACGGCATCAGTATGATTGCTCCCTGAGACTGCCATTGATGACGTGTGCCAGTTGTCTTGCAGTAGCAGCAGAACACTCTCCATGATCTCCAGTCACGTTCACATGCTCCTGCATTCTCCAGGCAGTGCTCTCGGTGTGGGTGTTTCTTCTTTCTTCCTGTTATCAGTATGAACTGCTTAGGTGATAGTAGTGTATGTGCATGTAGAGCTGACAGATGTATGTACTGTGCACTGTGTACTCCCATAAGACCATAGCCCTACTAAATATAGTACCATGCTGTAGGTGATCCGTTGGTTTTGGTCTATGTGTACAATTTGTTCCATGTTCTGTTTGCTGTCCGTCTCAAGAAACTGACCAGCGCGGGCTCAGCAATGGCTGCTAACACGGCCGGTGCTGCTCCGGCTCAAGCAAGCGCTGCTGCCACTGCGCCTGCGCCACAAACAGCATCGGGGGCAGCGGCCTCAACCACCCCTGCTGCCCAGCAGCCCTCTAACGAAGACAAGATTGCAAAGTACGTGAGTACGCTAAGTTCAGAAGTTTTTAAAGTGCTCAACATTTTGATTTAGTTATGAGGGCAAAAAGACCAGGTTAGGTGAACAGAAACTGTTGGTACAGAGAACCAGTCACCTATTGGATGCTGTGCGCTAGTGTTTGTGTGGCTATTGGAACTTCAGGCGTGAAAGACATGCACCGGAAGTTCTGGAAATTTGTGAAATTACAGTACTAGTACATGTAATTGCACTCGAGATTTCCAGCTCTTGGACAGGGAAAATAATTTCTTCCTGGATATTTGTGTGCATTTTTGTTGAGTGGAAATGAGAAAGTGCAACTAGTTAGTTCTACCCTGTTTCAGCATAGCGACTCCCAACTCATTTGTTTTGGGCTTGTTTGCACTACTTTGCAGAGCACGTGAGCTGATTGCTATGAAGCGGCAGCAGCGACAAGAAGAAGAGAAGCAGGTAGGAGACATTTATAAAAAAATTAAAGTTCATGAAGGACATTCACCAGTGTTGCAGTTTCCTCCCTGTTTCATGTTTGTGCCGCACTAGCGCCCACACACACAGACACGCATGCACGCGCGCGCGCACACACACACACACACACACACACACACACACACACACACACACACACACACACACACACACACACACATATTCTCGTATTCCTTGACACTGTGTTGAGGTCAAATGTTTTCGCATGCTTCTGTATGTTGCTTGCAGAAAGATTTGGATTCCGAACTATCTCGTCGTGAATCTGGCAAAAAGCTACAGGAATACAAAGCCCAGCAAAAGTCACGCGAAGCATCAGACCGAAGAAAGGAGATGCAGAGAGAGAAAGATGAAGCAGATAGAGCTCGCGAGGAGATCAGGAGGAAGATAGCAGAGGACAAAGCAGCCCGACGGCAGAAGCAGTCGGGATCAGCGGCAGCCTCGGCATCGAGTGAACCTGTGTCTGCTACTGCTGCTGCTGCTGCTGCTCCGTCAGTGGCACGGCCACCATCACTTCCGAGGTGAGATAGAAATTATAAACTACCCTGCCACACACGCGCGCTAGTGCACTTACATGTACTGCATCTTTCCATCCTGCAGATTCACTTCAATGTTAGGACAGTCGCAGATTTAGAACAGCTTGCGTTGATGCGTGCACTTAAACATGATTGCATGTATGTAGCCGGTACTTACGACCTCCTGGCTGTCTGTTGTTGTTCTCTGCTCTACTTCCGTCAGCGATATGGCCCGCATACAGTTCCGATTTCCCGACGGCTCATCGCTTACCGAGGACTTCTCTTCCACTACCCAGCTGAGCGTAGCACGGCAATTCGTTGCAGATGTTAGTACTACATTGTACATTTTACTTCGTGCAATTGTACAGTTGTATTCTGTTCATGAGTTGGCACTTCAATCTGAAGGAACATTGCTAGCCCTCTGTGAAGCCTCGAGTCCCCCTAATCTTGCTATTTTAGCTGTGCACCAACAGCTCACAGAGAGCCAGCATGGATTCTCACATTGGGAGTTACGCTCAGTGACACACATCATGTGCTGAATGGAACCTCAGCTCCAAAATACGAAGGGGGGGGGGGGGAGAGGAGGGGGTGGCACTACGAACGCTGAGCTGTGCCCCTTCCTGTTCTGTTCATGGGGTAGGATTTCACTTCATTTACCACCACTGCACTGTACGCAAATGCATGTACTAAATCCGAACTGGTCTAGTCTTGAAATGGAACTTATCGGTCTCACCTTTTTTTGGATAGAAATCACTTTTTTTGCATTTGCCAGTGTGGTGAGATTGTCCAGTATGTGGCTGCTAATTACGCTGCCAATTGTTTGATGACTGTCTCCATCTACTCTGCATTGCGCTCTCTGGACTATAGCGCGTGTCGGATCGCTTCCCGAACGGATTCAGTCTGTGCACGACTTACCCACGCCAGGAGTTGACATTTGAAGTGGACGACCAGACACTGCAGGAGTTGCAGTTGTCACCTCGCAGTGCCGTGCTTGTTCTGCCCAAGGTGAGGTAAACTGGAGACCGTCACAGGGAAACAGAGAACTGATTATTTATTAGTTGGAAAAGTAGAACCCCCTACACACCATAACAAAAGTTACTTGATAGGTTGACTGACCGGTTTCGTCTTGTTCCAAGAATCATCAGAGTGAGGGAAATGAGTAACGAAAAATACATTAAATAGCAATGCCAACTCACTTGACCAAAGGTATCTATAACACATGTGGACCCATTAAAGCCGCTGGGAGCCCAAAGAGGCAGAGGGGTAGGGGTAATTGACGTGTGTTCTAGAAGTGTGTCAATGCGTCAAGCTGCAAGGTGAGTGTGGCATGCAAATGTATTATGATCCGTGTTTGGAAATGCCCATATGAAGATACAATGATCTATATTTGGTGGTTTCCATTTACGGATAAGACTGGAAGTTTCAGTGAATAAATGTTTCAGTGAAAAATACCAATATGTTTTGGCAGGTTCAAGGAACCTGCAAAAGAAGAAACATTAGAATAGCAAATTGGTCTTTAATACGATAGAAAACCGATGCATCCATGTTAAAAGTAGAATTAAGCAGTCCTCTAACATTTTCATGAATGAAGAAATTATGATATGAAGTAGTGAAGGTAATGGAATTACCATGTGACTTCGATGAGGACTTCTCTTTCGGGATGGTTGGTAAAGCTTCGATATTATTGAAAACAGAAGCTAGGAAGTGTGGCGGATAGCCGCGGAGTCTAAGTCGGAACCAAAAGAGTTTACGAACAGACAGGATATCAGAGAGCAGAGTATTAGTACGATTGTAATGGAGTAATTCTGCTGTGATAAATGATCTGAAGTTTGACTTAGGATGGTTTGACTTAAACGGAATGTAGAGGTATGCATTGCGAGGTTTTTGGTATGTTTTGTACAATGAATTGCAAATATTATTCTGAGTTGATTTAAAGATTTCCAAGGCGAGAAGAATGCATTTTTCATCTGGGGTAGACCACGTCAATTGGATATCTGGAAGCTCGGAATACAAGGATTTTTTCAGGTCGTTAAAGGGGAAGTTAAGGCAAAAATAAAAATTTCACCAGTTGTAGTCTTCTGGGTGCTGAGTCGAATGGTCTTGGTCCGAGAAAGCTGAGACGCTCCCTTCCTACTTGAATCCCAATCGAACTCGCGCACTTCCACCGAAACTGGGTGACTGCGCCCTACTAGATGGGGATTTGTATGCAAAATGTCACTAAAAGCGCCATTTCGTTCTTATAAAAGCACGGATGACCGCGATTGGCCCATATGTTGTAGTCTTTTGGACGCTGAGTCGATTGGTTTTGGTCCGAAAAGGCTACGATGCAGCGTTCCTCCTTTATTCCCAATCGAACATGGTTGAACAAGCGGTCACGTGCTCCTGGATGCCCAAATCACCTGGTCACCACGCCAGCAGGCGACAACTTTCACACCAAGGTTCAACTCGAGTGACAGGACTGCACCCAAAAAAGGTCAAGCAGGCTAGTAAGTTGTACCCTGCAGGCACGGCGACCAGGTGACTGGCGTACGCAGGAGCACGTGACCGCCTTTTCAACCATGTTCGATTGGGAATAAAGAAGGAACGCTGCATCGCAGCCTTTTCGGACCAAAACCAGTCGACTCAGCGTCCAAAAGACTACAACATATGGGCCAATTGCGGTCATCCGTGCTTTTATAAGAACGAAATGGCGCTTTTAGTGACATTTTGCATACAAATCCCCATCTAGTAGGGCGCAGTCACCCAGTTTCGGTGGAAGTGCGCGAGTTCGATTGGGATTCAAGTAGGAAGGGAGCGTCTCAGCTTTCTCGGACCAAGACCATTCGACTCAGCACCCCGAAGACTACAACTGGTGAAATTTTAATTTTTGCCTTAACTTCCCCTTTAAGTGCTAACTTATCAATAATAATAGGGCTGAAACGATTATACCGAATAATCGAGTACTCGTTTGATAACTCTAACGATCGAGCAATCGTTTAGATTACCGATTACGATTATTTTGCGTGTTTTAAATTCGTGTCCAGAAAGTACTGTAAACCCTCGTTTTGTGAAGTTTGAATCAGTTTCCGCTGGGAGTATGCAGTTGCCAGGGTTATGGTTCATGTTCTGAGGTTAATTGACTTCAAAACTGCCATGTTTCGGAGCTACCCTTTCACTAATGCAGATTTGTTGGTATTATGAAGGCATAGTTTGTGGAAACAGAGTAATGTTTGCACAGAATTATGACTCTATTTGCTAACGATTATAATCGATTACTCGATCGTTAAGCTAAAGAGTAATCGATACGTGAAAATCCACGATCGTTTCAGCCCTAAATAATAAGGAATAGGTCGTCGACAAACCTGAGAAATAGCAATATTGTAGAAGGGAATAAGGCTAAGCTTTTCTTTTCATGTACCGGTATGTACACAAATGCATTTGCAGCATTTACTGCCATAGGGATCCCCATAGCCATTCCAGATTGTTGATGGTAGATTGTGTCTTGAAAAAATGAAACAGTTATTCTCAAGTACAAATTGGACTAGTTCAACAATTAAAGGGCGAAGAGGATGATTTACTTTCGAAAGGAATGAATCGATGGCAGCAATAGTATCAGTCCAGTTCATATTAGTATACAGACTTACAACATCAGCAGTAACGAGGCTGCAGGATTGTGAAAAGACAGAACTCGAAAGACGACGAGTAAGTTCACAAGTATCGACAAGAACAGTGGATGATAAGGTATTAAAGGTTTGTTTCAAATGGAAATACACAAATCGTGAGGCCGGTGATGTGCATTAGTTTATACAGGACACAATAGGACGACCTGGTATACCTGAAGCAAGTGGTTTTTGTGTGAATTTTAGGTAGTTGATAAAACTTTGCAGGTTTAACAGGAAAACAGTTAAAGAAAGCTGGTAAATCTTTTTTCTCCATGTATAAATTGGAATATTTCTTCATGATATTTTGAATTTTGCAAATATCAATTTTAAGCTTATCTGAGCTGAGAAGAGCAGTAGAGACACGGAATTTTGGTCCGTAGCTTAAGGTTAAAACTTGAGTTTCTACAGGGTTAAATATGAGTGAATACAAATTATGAACACCAGAGTTAATTACATATTAACCCTCATGCCACACAAGAGAGACGAGCCTGTGGGGTGTCGCAAGCGTTTATTCCAGCATGAATAATCATGAGCCTGTGATCGGTAATCAAGTATGACGTACATATACTCAGTATGAGGTCATGATTATAAATGAAAATGATGTACACATATCACGCATCAGAGAGGCAAGGACAGCAGAAGCGACCCGCGGGGTCCTGCGCCGTCGGAACGGCTACGTGTACTACTAGGTTGCTATGGCAGCGGAACACTAAATCTTAGTACACATGAATAGTTCAATGGTGCCGATGTGCGTGCACTATGCGGCGCCCATTGGCAGCACCCGTGCCTCCAATAAAGGTACCGAGTGGCTTGCGACACGCAGCCTCTAGTAGTGCTGTGGCATGCCTGCGGGCCTGCGAATGTACGTGCGATATGCCCCGCTGGACCAGCGGCCTGCAGCCATCAGGGCATACTCCGGTGCGCCTCGATCCGCCATGTGTGTGGCTCCCCCGGCGCGTAAGGAATGGCTGCTGATGCTTGGACCTAGCACTTTGTGTAGGACAGCATTGATATCGTTCGGCGTGAGCTGGCGACCATCCTGAAACTTGAATAGGGGTTGCTTGTCATTGCTCCATTTGCTGGACCGAACGTAAGCCTGCAGGGCTCGGACGGGACATAGTGCGGGGTCAGCGTAGCGATGCAGCGCTACCTCCCCGCCTGTTGTTAATTGAGACGTCTTTGTCCTCTGGAGCTGCAGAGAGGCCTCCTGCTGGGCTAGCCGGAGGTGTTCGCGCCTCAGCGTCTTGAGGCCGCCGGGACCGTGTGGTGACAGCGACGTGTACTCACTCACACGCAGCAGGCCGTAGAAGGCTGTCGTCAGAGCAGCCCATAGCATTAGTCTGTCTGCCGGGGAGTACAAGGTCCGATCCAAGAACTGGCGGAGAGCCTTCAGCTGGTGGACGGTGATCGCTTGGCGCTGAGGGCGTGCTGACGGATGCCTGGGAAGTGACGCTCTCTCCCTCTCCAAGCCCTTGAGCAAGGCTGTGATGCGGTTAGAGGATGTAACCCCGACCGGGCCTCCCATGCGGAGGAGGTGGTATTTGATCGCGGCCAGGTAGACTCTCAGAGTGCTGGCGCTGACTGAGTGAGACATTGCGGCAGCGAACAGCAGGACGTCGTTCTGACCTGGGTGATGTGCGTCGCGGCGCATGCGACCCATGAACTCCAGGAATGCACGCTAGCCTGGGGCGTACGTGCGCTGTGTGCCAGTGGCTACTGAGTTGGCAATCAGGTGCTCTGCTCGCGCTGAGAGAGCGGCGGCTAGCGAGCCTAGGAGGACACAAGCGCATGCAACACAAACGCACACACGCATACGCCCGCACACGCGCATGTTCCCTAAACAGGCAGGATGGTACGGCGGCCAAGCTGCGGTGTATGCGTGCTGCGCCGGGTCGCCGAACAGCGGCCCGCTTCCCGGAACGCACTGGCCCGGCGGCGTGGCTGCGGATTGTAAGCAGGGGACCCGTGGGTTATGCTAGTGGGAGATCTCCCCCCTGACCTCGGCGGGGCGTTCCGGTACTGGTTTGGCCGCGGTTCGCCCCATGCTGTGGGGCTAATGCAAATACGACCCGAGAGCCCCCCTCCCCCCAGCCCCGCGGGGTGGGAGCCTCTTAATATTGGCCTAACCCAAAGGTACTTAGCCTTGCGGGTGGACGCATGGGGGTGGCACGTAACATTGGCTTGCGTAGTCGTGGCTTGCGGCGGTATAAACGATCCTCCGGCGGGAGGTGGACATCCGGCGGGATGTTGTGCAAGCGGGGCTGGCGACCCTGGACAGACACACAGAACAACAGATAGCGGGCGGCGCAGCCTTGGTACGGCGGAGCCGTAGCTTGCAGCGGCAGTGTCTATAAGCAATTCTCC